ATTGTCTTAAGGCTCTGTGTGCGCTGTTAATGCTCCTGGGTGCATCAAAGAATACTCAGCCACGCTGCCAAAACTCTGGACAGGAGACAAGTCTAAATCCACCCCCCTTATTTTGTCAACCTCTGCGTAGAAGAGATATCAAGGAAGCCGGGTTGTAAGAAGATGCACAGGGCTTGAAAAGCGGAAGAAGGGACATCAAACCACCTCTGATGACGCTACGTATCTAGCCAAAAATCACATCCGATCTGCAAACTCTACTAATAAAAGTTGAAGGAACAGAGTGTAAAAAGGGGGACCTGTTAAATTTAAGGAAAACTAAAATAATGATAGAACAGCCAGCCCCAAAATTCAAAATTAAATGAACCGAACATTGCAGAGCCAAAGGTGTATTTATTTATTTTTCAAGTGGCAACTGGATTTCCTGCTTTTTATTTGGAGACGTTTCGCTCCAAGAAGCTTCTTCAGCTCTGACTGGATGGATTTTTATCCTCCTCGCAGACAAAGCTGGTCATTTGCATCCTTTTCGAGAGTCGTTGAGGCCACTTGGAGGTTCCCCTGTGTCCTTGGGGGTCACCTGAGTGCTGCCAATGGGGGTGGAGCTTTCTTGGAGCTGCCGAGAGAATTGTGTTGTGGAGTTGTGCTTCCCGGAGGGTGTTTTCCGCCCTGCTGTGTCCCTTCCCTGTTGAGGCCAAGAGGGAGCCTGGGCAGCCCTGAGGACACAGGGGAACCTCCAAGCGGCCTCAACGGCTGATGCTGTTGAACGTTGGTGTTGGAGGAAGCTCTCGAGAAGGTCACAGATGCCCAAGAGAGAAAGCAAATTAACCTCAAGGATTCTCTCGTGGCAGAAATGATTGTTTCAAATTAACCGTGTTTAGACAAAGGCTGAGCTCCCTTGAAAAACGAATCCATCGTGCGGGGAAAGATGGAAGGAAAGAGAAGCGAGAGAAGAAAGAAGAAGCCGCTTCCATGTTGCGTCTCGTGCCAGATGTTCACCTTACAGAAATGTTCAACATCCACAATTTCCTAGACAGATTCCAGAAATTCCTCTAATAGCAATAGCAGTTAGACTTATATACCGCTTCATAGGGCTTTCAGACCCCTCTAAGCGGTTTACAGAGTCAGCATATCGCCCCCACAGTCTGGGNTTTCCATCCATTCTTCCTTCTCTGGCCTTCGGGGGCTTTGGAGAACAGCTGGACCCCCCTAACTCCTCTCTGGGGCAGCCCCTTCCTCAAGTATTGGGAGACTGTCATCCTGTCTCCCCCGGTCCTTGCAAAGTTCCTGCAACTGTTCATCTTATGTTTAAGCTCCATGATTAGTCCTGGCTGTGGGGGTCCTCCGTCTTCCCTTAAGGGGCCCAGGTGAAGAAGATGGGGGCCCCCACCCCACTGAAACCACGGGCGTGGGGGGCTGTCAGGAAGAAGCAGCAGAAGAGCTCTGAGTGGGGTGGGGGCCTAGAGGTGGAGCTCTCCACTCACAATCTGGAGTTCGATCCCGGGTAGAGGCAGATACTGTATTTCTCTCTCTGGGCACAATGAGAGTCTTGTCTGCCGAACAGAACTCCGCCCTGGTGACAGGAAAGGCACCCGGCCAGCATGCAGTCAGCTCCAGTCGCCCAGGCTCCACCCCACGAGGGATCAAGGGGGGGGGGTTAAAAGAAGATGGCAATAAACATTTGGGGTGATTTTACACGTGGGTCCGTCAGCTGTGTCTGGGTCAGCCGCCTACGGCCGAGGGTTCTTTGCAAGCCCGGCCCTCTGCTCCTCTCTCTCTGTCCCCGCAGCATCACAGCCACGGCCGCCAGCATTGGGGCCGCCGGGATTCCCCAGTCGGGCCTGGTGACCATGGTCATCGTACTCACCTCCGTCGGCCTCCCCACCGAAGACATCACGCTGATCATCGCCATCGACTGGGCCCTGTGAGTCTCCCCCCCCCCCCCGGGGAGGGCGAGAGAGACGCACAGCTCAGGGTGGGGGTCTCTGGGGCTCTCTCAGCTGGGGGTTTGCTTGCAGGCGTCTCATGGCCCAACTAGGTAACGGCATCAGTTATCAGCAGGCAGCAACACCCCCCCTGAGGATGATGGTCGAAGGTTGTTGGGCCATGAAAAGCCTGCAAGTAAAGAAGGAGGAATTCTGCCAGATGAAGAGAGCGAAGCCCCATTTTCCCCTAGAGGGAGAGGAGGCTGGGGGGATTTCTTTTCTTTCTTTCTTTCTTTCTTTCTTTCTTTCTTTCTTTCTTTCTTTCTTTCTTTCTTTCTTTCTTT